CCCACTTAGTCCCATATATTTATACTTTTATTCCATAAAGTCATTTTTCTTGATTTATACTATTTTCTTAAACTCTTATACCCTTATATTTAATATTGATATTTAATGTTGATATTTAATGTTTGGGGAGGAGAGAGAAAGGACCAAAACATAGGAAATTTCATACACAAATTAAATAACATTAATGTTATTATTTTATACTATTATATAATGTGAATATATTTTTAATTGACAACACATTAAAAATAACGTGAACATTTTCTCTCATTTGATGTGAATATATTTTCAATTAACAACACATTAAAAATAATATGAACATTCTTTCTCATCTGATGTGAACGTTCACAACACATTTTCGAAAAATTCTCTTTTATCTAATGTAGTGATGTGAACGTTCACCACATGTGAACTTTCTTATTTTTAATTGACAACACATTAAAAATAATGTTCATTATATTTTTAATTGACAACACATTCTTATTCACAGCATGCAGTGATGTGAACATTCTCTCTCATCTAATATAGTGATGTGAACATATGTTTAAGTATGAATATTCACATCATATACTTGACAACACAATGACAAAAATTCATTTCAAATTAATATGAATATAATGGCAGTCAACATCCTGATGCATGAGAATTACCAAAACATAATGATAATCAACATTAAATATTAACATTAATAGGGGACATGAGAGATTGAGGATGTTTTGGTTTTCTTACCTCAAATAGGATCCAATGAAATAGTCAAAAAGAATATGGGTTGGATGGAAAAAAAACTCTTAAAAAGAGAATTTATCAAAAAAGCTCCTTTTTTTATATTAGAATATTACTTATATTATAGCGATCCCGGTTTTTCCTTTCTTTGTTTATTGTACTCCGGACTTGATTCCGTGAGTGTGTGGTTGTCATATTCACATTTCTATCATTTACTCTTTATATTTGAGTCTTGGGTTGTGTTGGGCAGGTTGGGAACAGGTTGGTTGTGATTAGAAACCGAAAGTTGATGCTCAGATTTTGGCCTTCATGCTCGAGCGGGGCTTTTGACGCTCGAGCGGGCCTTTTGTTGTTGCTTCTCCGCTCGAGCGGGCATTTTAACGCTCGATCGTGATTATTCATCTCTCAGCATTTTGTTCTGCAGGTCGTCGGACGCTCAAGCGTCCACTTTCATGCTCGAGCGGGGATCATCGACTGCAAAACTTTTGGAAGTGTGCATCCGGCGCTCGAGCGGCGTTTTTGACGCTCGAGCGTGAGTTTGTGTTTGACGCTCGAGCGGGGCGACTTTTATATCAGTCTGAAAAGTGACTTTTTGGATCACTTTTCTTGAACCCTTTCTCTCTCTAACTTTTCAAAACCTCCATTGGAGAACTCCTCACTCTAAAACTTCAAATTCTCTCTAGGGTTTGATCTAGTTTGAGTGATCTTCTACCTTAGTGTCTTTATAAAAAGTGTAGAGCTTGGCTTGGGCTACATTTCCATCAGAAAATCTTGGGTTTTGGAGCATTTCGAAATTCTTCATCTTCTCCATTTGGTCTCATCTTTTGAGGTAGGGATAACTACTCACTTTTATGATCTTTGACATAAACTTTTGGTCATTTTGATTTAATGTGGAAGTTGGGTAATTTTGGGTGTTACGCTTTCAAAATGTATAAAGAGGGGTTTTGTTCTTTGGGCCAATACATGTGTATTTTGGGTGTCAAATGGGGTTATTGTTGTTTATTGTTGGTATTTGAGCCTTTGGGTCAATGTTGAGAAAAGAGGGAGAAAAGCCCTAATTTAATGTTATGAATTAATTTGTATAATTAATTTGGAAAGTTAAGGAAATAAGAAATTGAGTTGAAAATGATGAAATTGGCTTAAAATAAGGTTGAATGGTGGAGTCGAATTTATAAATCGCTCACTTTTGAGAATTATTGATAATTTATCTGTTGATGAGTTATAATCTCATTTAAATTGTTGATATTGAAAAGGTTTTTAACATGAGTCGTAGTCTCATGGGAATTGTTTGGCCAGGTGCTGAGCCAGGTTTATAAATCGAAATTGTTAAGTAAAGGAAAAATGGAATGAAATATGGACATTCCTGTTATGAAATTGGGTTGTGTTGTATGTTGGTTTATTTTGGTTAAACATTTATCAAATGCTAATGATTTAGTCATTCCTCATATTATGTTTAGCATATCTCTACTGGGCATTGGCTCACCCTATATGGGACATCATTTTCAGGTTCAGGTGATATGCCCCCTCCAAGGAAGTAGCTTGGGAGGCTTGAGGCTGATAGCTCTTTTGTTGCCTCTTTTGTATATTACATGTATATCAAGCCATGGGCTTATTTTGTGTAAAGAGTTAGAACTTTACTTTTGCTGAACCCAAGTGTTGACTTGGAAAGTTGTAAGCTTATAGAGCATTTACTTTTGTTATCAACATGTAATATCTTTTGTAAGAATACTCTGATGAATGGTATTATGTTTTACTCTCTTAAGTTTATGAATGTAATGAATGCATGATTTATGGGTTTATTTTGAGGGTGTTACATATATCTTTTTTTTATTATTTTTAAAACCGTTTTATATTGTTAGGATACATTATAAGATGTTATTTATTTTCATTAATTTTTAAAAATTATTTTCAAATAATAAACTAATTAGAAGCAATATTAGTGTAGTGGCTCATACCACTAATGTATATTTTTTCTCCATTATCTTATCATTTTTTTTAATGATTGGGAATTTCAATTCATTCACTATATTATTCGGTACAAGATTTTATAAATAAATTTTAGATATGCACAATCACTAGCAATCATATGAGAAATTTTTAGGTGCAGATAGGATAGGTGCCATGTGATTCCTTTCTCTTCTCTCATTGGTTAAGAGAGAAGGAGTTATATTTATGTGTTGGGTGATGAGGAGACAACATAGGAGGCCATAGTGTTTGTGATTGGTTAAAGGTACCATGTACCCTATCTGCACCTAAATTTTTCTCCAATCATACATATTAAATAAGTATTTGTTGAACATAAATTTTGGGTAAATTACATTGGCACCCTTGAGATTTCAATTTAATACGGATCCCCCCTGACATTTCAAAAATTACACTTCCCTCCCTGTCCATGTTTGTTTTTTAATAGAACTAGTGGGAAAAGTGTAATAACATGAATACCCTCCACTAAAGATATTAACTTATGGAATTACCATCATCTCTTCCCCTTTCATTTTTCTCTTCTACTCTCAATGTCATAGCACAACAACTCTTACACTGCTACATTATGGGTTTATATCAGTGACCCACCTCTGTAATCCCATAAAGAAAAATAAAATATGCCAAATTTAATATCAATGGTCCAAATTTATTTAAAGTATGGGCTCACAACACTTAGGTGGTGTTTGATAAAGCTAAAAGCTAACTGAAAACTAAAGACTAAAAATTAAGTATTGAAAACTGAATGTTTAATTTGTTAACTTATAAACGGTTTAATAAAAATTTAAGTGTTGAATTAAAAATAAGTTGTTTAATATATATTAGATCAAATTTGAAATTTATTTATTTCAAATTGTACATTTTAATTTTTATGTTGTGATGGTGGTGGTAAGGGTAGCGGTAGTAGTAGTGGTAGCGGTGCCGGTGGCATAATGGTGGTAGACGTAGCAAAGGTAGTGATAGTAAAGTAATCGTGGTAATTATGACAATAATGACAATGGTAATAAAAGTGATGGTAGTAGTGGTGGTGGTGGTATTGACGGCGATGGTGGTCGTGGTAGTGGTGGCATGGCGATGATGGTGGTGGAAACATGGTAGTGATGGTAGCGGTGGCATGGTAGTGATGGTGGCGATGGCGGTGGTGGTGGCATGATTTGATATTCTTGATTTTTTTTTCTGATTCTATTTATGAGACTGTAGAATTTTTTATTTTTGAATGCATGTCAAGTCAACGTTGGATGGGGTGCAATATTTTAGATTTTTCTTTTCTTTTTAGGGACTATTAAATAGTTGGTATTGTTAAAGTAGGGTAATTAAAGCATTGTAGGGTTATGGTTGGTTTATGTAATACAGTGTGGTGTGAAGGGAATTAAATACATGAAAAAGAAAATGATGGATAAAAGATCAAGGGTAGATATGGTATTTTAAAAGGAATTATTATTGACATAAGCAAACATTGTGTGTTGACTTAACAATCAACTAACAAATAGGGTAATTGGTAATGCTACTTTAAACCTTGTGAAGGGAATTGTAATTTCTAAAATGTGAGGGAAGAAATTGTATTAGTTACAAACGTCAAGGGTGTCAATGTAATTTACCCTAAAATTTTTAAAATTTATACTTCATGAGAAAGCTCTCAAAATCAACCCTTTAACCACTAGACTATTAATACTATCTCCAACCGTGTATTAAACTTATCATCAGATTTGAATTTGATAAAAAATAGTTCCTTTTTCAGCTCCAACAGTTATCAAATCGAGAATATAAAAAATGTTTCATCAAATAGAGGACGTCTGGGAGCTTTCAGCATTTCACTATTTGGTGCTGTTGATTTTGCAGAATTGGACGTCCGGCCGGATGTCCTCCGGTCATCCGCTTAGTTGAAAAATTCCTATAGCAAAGCATACCCTCGGAATCGATGGATTACTATTGCCAGTTGACCAGCAAGACTTTCGCCTGGTCGTCCTCCTGGTCGACTAGTGTGTTGATAACAACCAAAAATGCTCCGTTGGAGTGTTGAATATCAGATGGAGTTTTTACTTAAATTTTTATTCAAATTTGATAAAATAAATGATACACCGTTAGAAAGGCTCTAATATGAGTTTTCAAATCACATTAATTATGTTTGATACAACATATATGGGTGAATAATCATGCTACAAAATAATCGAGCAGAATATGAAATTGAAAACTGGGGAACCATTACTTTTAAGTAATAGTATGGTCCTACGGATCCATTATTGTGCCCTGAAGAATCATTCAAAAGTGGGGAGCCAGAACTTTTAAGTAATGGTATGGTCCTGAGGGGCTATTATTGTGCCCTAAATGTTCAATTAAAGGGACAACTAGTAGGACTGGTCCTTCCATATTAAAGATCATTCAGAGGAACCCATTCTTTACTACTTTGAGTAGCATACTCAATTGAAGGTAAAAATTTTAATACATTTTTTCTTTTTGGTGTGTCATATGTTTGGTTATAATTTTTTATGGTCTATTTGATATTTAGTTATTGTTACAAATTAAGTGGTGTACAGTTATTGTTAGGATTTTTAATCCTAAACTTTTGTTGCACATTTTATTTTGGCAACTTCCATGACAAAGCAATTTCATTTTATTTCTTAGTTTTACATTTTCCTTGTTTGGTCTTTTAAATTGTTTTTTATGGCTGGAAGTTTCATGCGCAAGATTGCAATTCAAAACATTTTCGGTGGCTCAAAGACTTTGTGGTCAAATTGATTATTGACACAATCAATTTGAGATTTTGTGGAACAACTTTTCAAAGCATGCTTCAAAAATGAATATTGATCTTTCTTGAAATAATCACTTGAGAATTTGGTTAGAAAAAGTTTTGAAAAAAGTTGACAAATATCTTGAGCTAATGTTGCATGTTGAAAACAAACAATTTGAAACCATCTTCCTTGAGCTAACAAAATTGAAGTTTTTTTGAAAAGTTTTGGTCAAAGATTTGATAGCTATCATGTGAGCAAGAGAAAGGATGTAGGGTGCCTGTTTGTCTGCAGGTTAGGATGGCAAAGCGTGGGAAAAATCGTGGCTCAAAACGTGGAAGAAAAATGGAGAAAAAAATCTACAAAAGCAGCTCGGCACACATGGCAGTTCGCGCCCGCGGAACAACTCTTCACGCCTGCGACCTTCAAGTGCGCGCCCGCGATTTGGAAATGCTAAAAATCAAGTTCTCAGAAGTTTTCTCTACAACCCGCGAAGGCTAGTTGCGCCCTCTATCATGTGGTTCGCGGCCTCGAGGAAGTCCTGCCTCAGGCCTATTTAAGGCAGGCTCGACTAGTTTATTTTGTATCTCTTCCAGCCATTTTCTGTGTGCTCTCTCCTAAGTTCTTCTGAGTATTTTTATCTTTTGAGAGATCAATTTTATGAGTGAAATATATTTTTGTGAGAGAGATCATTTATTGTAGAGAGATTTTGCTAAGTGTTTGAGAGTAAGTTGTAGTGAGATTTCATTTATATTACTCTCATATTTGCTTGATGATTAGTTAGCTTATCAGTGCTTCAATTTCATCATCAAGGTGTAATAAGTCCTTCACACCTTTCAATTGTGAACCTTCTTGGTGGATTCCAAGATTGTAGATCTTGATGGATTTCGAAATCATTGGTGTCGTGACGATTTGACGATCGTTGCAGAGATGCAATGAAAGAAGAAGTGTGACTCGTAGATTGAGCAAACGCATGAGTCCAGAGTGGCCTTTGTAAAATATCTCTTGTATTCTTTTCTTTTATGGTGGATTGTTCGTTTGGCCGAGAGCGCGTGGTTTTTTTGTCACAAGTTGGTAAATTTCAGTTGTGATTTTTCCACGCAAAAAATATTTGTTGTCGTGAATGAATTTTCTCTTGCTCTCTTTTTATCTACATTGATCATGGATGTATAATTTTTAATTTGGATTATCTAAATCAACAAATCACTTATCACGGCACAAATCTAGATTTTCCAAAAGGATTTTTCGATAAAACTAGATTTTTTAGTTATAACTCATTAGGACTATTTGGTATAATTTATATGAGCTGTTTCTAGATTTTTCAATTCTAGATGTTTATGTCAAATTGTTAGGTACAACTTCTAATTATAGCTAGTAGAAATAATTTAAATAAATCGAAAAAATTGATTATCTAAAAGTTAGGGTGGGAGAGGTATGTTTCTGTTTTTTTTTTAATTGTCAATTTTCAATTTACAAAAAACTATACCAAATAGAAGCACAAATATATATATTTTTTATTATGAATCATTGTGTTGTTGATTATGAATTTGATTATGACTTACTGTGATTTTTATTTTGGTTGTGATCAAAATAATATTTGGTTGCATCCCTCAAGTGATGTTTTATTATAATTCATTCTAAAAAGGGAGTGTGTATTATTGATTTTCTTAATTTAGCTACTACACAAAATATCTTCTTGTCCATGATAAAGCAAAAAAGAAAACAAAATACCAAAAAATATATATATTTGGAATCGTTTTCAAAATTTTTGTTTTGCTTATCATCTCCATTTTTCTTGTTTTTAGAAATGAAAACAATGAAAGGTTCAACTTTTTCGTACAATTTTCAAAAATTTAGAAAGCAGTTTGAAAGTGTTTTCTAAAACAAGTGGTGTTTTTTTCAAAAAAAATTAAAATTTATCAAATAAGTTTAACGACACAAAACGTGCACCCTTAGCGCAGATGTGTGCACACATTAAACAAGATTCTAATCTTATGGAGTGTATCTATTTGTCGCTAAAGATTTATATACCAAGGCAGACAGTATCACTAATTTTTTGAAAAAGTAGAAAGAAAAGAAAACTTTACACGATTTTAAAATATTTTTAACTAATATTATTAGAATTTTTGAAACTCATGTCTCATACACATATGTGCACAAGTCTACAAATACAAAAAAGACTTTATACTATACTATATATTTTTGCATTTTTAGGGTTTGGAGATTCATTAATTATTGTTATGAATTCATTGGGACACCTTAATGTTTTATGGTACATACCTTATCAAAACCTGTTGGGAGTATTTGTGACCTGTGGGTGTTGACTACACCATCAAATGGGAAATTTAGCTGGAGAGTACCGACAGAATAGATTAAGCCCAACAACTTGTGACAAGACGATGAGAATTTCGCGGTGATTCATCCACCTAGGGGCACTTCGATGATCAAGTCAGTAAATAATATCTATCTCTCACCGACAACAAATAATGCTTAAACTCACAAGAAAAAACTTATTGCTCACAGTATTTCACATATATCTGAAACCCACGAGGGTACCTTGTTTTTATAGCCACTACTGACCTGATCCTCCTCTATTCTAGAAATCTTGTTCTTTATCCGCTCATCTTGAATTCTGATATCTCCGCAGATAATCTCGGCACATAATCAGACCACGTAGCACCTCGACTAATATTTTAACATCACCTTAACCATGTGCTATTATTCACAAAATATGTCCCCACATGACCCATACAAGAGGGTGTTTGGAGAGTGCGAACTTGGAAATGACCCACCAACTAATACCATGGCCCTGGAGACGACAAGTTAAAAGAATATATTTGACTTTTCCACTTTCTTTTTCTTTATTTATTTTTTATTTTTGGTTAAAAGTCCAATAATCAAATATGGAATCCAACACATAAAAAAAAATGATAGATAAGATTTTATAAAATTTATTGATGAAATCTATTTCTAAAAAATTTGGACTATCAATATATGTTGTAGGTTGATTATGCGTTCATAGATTTATTATTATTATTTTTTTGGTTATGGCTCACTTTTCGACTTCTCTGAATTTGATTCTGGTGAAGTGTTTTATGTTTGGTTTCCTTAAACTATAGCTTTTAGATTTCTCTTTTCATTTTCAGTTTCTTTTTCTTTCAACAAAATTTTAAATTCAAACAAAATGTTAAGACTATATTTGGTTGGAAGATTTGATATAAAAAATGGAAAGAAAAAGAGAAATAGAAAGAAAATGAAAAAGAATTGATAAGATTCAAATTCTCGGTTATATTTGGTTGAATTAGAAAATGAAAAAATAGAAGAACATAAGCGAATCAAAAGACAAAAAATGGGATTACAGTTCCTTTTCACTTTCTTTTCTCATGTTTTTTCCATTATAACCAAACAAAAAATGAGATTGCATTTTTCTTTTCCCTTTCCATTTCTCTTATCAAATTTTCCAACCAAATACAGCCTAACCAAATTTTAACCGAAATTCATAATATTTGCATGTTGTCGGCAACCGACTAATCTATAGGAATTGAATTTACTCCATTGGTTTTACACCTTATTTGATATTTCTTTTATTTCTTGGATAAAAAATAAAATATCCCTCCAATATTAGGAAAACAAAGTGCGAGCTCAGTTTGGCATCACTTATTGTTGGAACAATCTTCTGTGTGAATAAAATAAATTGAAATTAATTCAAACAAAATAAAATAAAACTTACAAAAAATATTTTGTTGAACCAAACAAAAATTAAAAGACCAAGTCGAGTGTGTGACACTCTGTCCTTAAGACAGATTCGCCCCGCTATGGTGCTTACGGTTGAGTGGCGTCTATCTCCCAGGATACAATGATCTTTAATCAATTTGTAGTAGCACTCCAAAACAAATTGTTCGGCGAACCAAACCGGTGATCTAACTCTCTGAATATTTATTCTAAAACTAGAATGAAGAATAATGCAAAAGTAGAAAAATCTTGACAACAATGAGATCAAATTTAGACAGATTTTCGGATGTGAAAAATTAGATCCAAACCTGCTAGAATAGATGGTATATATAGGCAGCAAAAGTTCCGAACAGGTATCAACTTAAAGAAGTGAAAATGTGCATTATTTCAATTCAAATAAAGTTGACTGTTTGATCTCAAATTCAAATATTTGAAGAAGTGTTCCGTTAGAGAATGTTTCAAATTTGTAGGTAATTTATTATTTAAATTATTTCAAATATATATATATATATATAAAAATATTAAACTATTGAAATAGTTAAATAAATAAATAAATAAAAAGGTACAATCTTTAGGAAACCACTTAGGAACCAAAAATTTGAATTTAGAATTAAATTAAATTCTCACAATTACAAACTTTAGATTATTCTGTTTACAGAATTTTTCGTTTGTTTCCCTTTTTCATTCTTTGTAAATAATTTCGGAAGAAAATTATTTTCCGTGAATTTAGAAAATAATATTCTGGTTGGAAAAACAAATAGTGATTATATGCTATTTGACATATAGTAGTAATATACTGTCTCTTTTCTTTGACAACAACTAGTAGTACGATACTGGTGTCATTAACAATTCAGAATATATTTTTGTGAAATTTTGTCAGATAATTAATTTTGGATTTTAGAAATTATTTTCTGAGTTTTCATTACTTGAAATTTTGTTTCGGTATTTTAATTATTGAAGTGCTACTGAAATTAATTTTCTTGTGTGGAATTAATTTGGTTAAATAAAATTTTATTTTATTTCCAAATTAATTGAAAAATAAAAGTTATTTTCTTATTTCTTTTATTTTACAGAATTTAATTTCTTGTGTGGAATTAATTTGGTTAAATAAAATTTTATTTTATTTCCAAATTAATTGAAAAATAAAAGTTATTTTCTTATTTCTTTTATTTTACAGAATTTAATTTCTTGTGTGGAATTAATTTGGTTAAATAAAATTTTATTTTATTTCCAAATTAATTGAAAAATAAAAGTTATTTTCTTATTTCTTTTATTTTACAGAATTTAATTTCTTGTGTGGAATTAATTTGGTTAAATAAAATTTTATTTTATTTCCAAATTAATTGAAAAATAAAAGTTATTTTCTTATTTCTTTTATTTTACAGAATTTAATTTCTTGTGTGGAATTAATTTGGTTAAATAAAATTTTATTTTATTTCCAAATTAATTGAAAAATAAAAGTTATTTTCTTATTTCTTTTATTTTACAGAATTTAATTTCTTGTGTGGAATTAATTTGGTTAAATAAAATTTTATTTTATTTCCAAATTAATTGAAAAATAAAAGTTATTTTCTTATTTCTTTTATTTTACAGAATTTAATTTCTTGTGTGGAATTAATTTGGTTAAATAAAATTTTATTTTATTTCCAAATTAATTGAAAAATAAAAGTTATTTTCTTATTTCTTTTATTTTACAGAATTTAATTTCTTGTGTGGAATTAATTTGGTTAAATAAAATTTTATTTTATTTCCAAATTAATTGAAAAATAAAAGTTATTTTCTTATTTCTTTTATTTTACAGAATTTAATTTCTTGTGTGGAATTAATTTGGTTAAATAAAATTTTATTTTATTTCCAAATTAATTGAAAAATAAAAGTTATAGTTTTTATTTCTTTTATTTTACAGAATTTATTTCTTGTGTGAAATTAATTTGATTGAATAAAATTTTATTTTATTTCCAAATAAATTGAAAAATAAAAGTTATTTTCTTATTTCTTTTATTTTACAGAATTTAATTTCTTGTGTGGAATTAATTTGGTTAAATAAAATTTTATTTTATTTCCAACTTAATTGAAAAATAAAAGTAAGTTTTTATTTCTTTTACTTTACAGAATTTAATTTTCGGTGTGGAATTAATTTGTTTAAATAAAATTTTATTTTATTTTCAAATTAATTGGAAAATAAAAGTTACATTCTTGTTTCTTTTATTTTTACAGAATTTAATTCTGTGAATTTGGTTTAATTTTCTGTGTAGTGTAAATTCTAATTATAAATTTGTTTTATAAATTAGAATTGATGGCTACTGAAACAAATGCCCAAACAAGTACTACTGTGGTGGCTGCAATTACACCATTTAATCAACATGATTGATTTCAGGAATTTAATAATTGACGAGTTCTACACATTGAAC